GTCGTTATTGTGGCTGCTTTTGTTGTCGTCGTCGACAGGGCCAACCCACGATCAGAGGTATACAACGTCCCAGCAGAAAGGCGAAGATACTTGATAAAATATACGTCCCTACAGTGGATTCGGACTTTGGGAGAGGGAGAGGAGCCTATCCGCTGTGCCACAGAAACTGGTTAGCATGCTTTTGAAAAAGTAGTATTTAATCTTCCGTAGAAAAAAAAAACAACGATGTATCCAGTGTTTGTTTATAAGTTCGCAACATGGCAAGCTGATCGCGAATTCTGTTTGTTTCATTTTTTAAACAATTGCTTGCCCTTGACACTTCCTGCTTCTCTTTTATTTTTTTATTTTTTTTTAGATCTCAGATGGAAGAATGAAGAAAGCAAGACTAGATTAACTACCTAAGTACCCCTGTAAAATATATCTAATGAAGCAAAAACAATACCAATAAATGGAAAGTGATCGAGATACTTTCATATTAATTTGGAGATTGGAATTACACCTTCGTGATAAGGTTTGTAGGCTTACTTTATGCAAAAGAACATGCCATTATACCTGAGCAAACTTGTTTCCTTTTAGAGATACAGACAGTCTGACATAGGACTGGGGCAGGTAGAAACAAAGTCTTGAAGGATTATTTGTGAATTTGATAAAGACATAACAAATAGAGAACTGACTGAAGAACGTGAAATGCAAAGGGAAAATCTTAGTTAATGTCAAGTCGTCTCCTTTTAACTGACTAATAAAGAGACGATACTCTAAAATGTTAGTCGTAAGAACGTTAGTACGCACTTTCCGTACTCTTTTCAGCGCGTGTTGAAGGACTGGTTTAAAAGACACAAGGCATTTAGTTTATATCAACATGAGGATAAGATGATTATAATTAATCACGTTCTCATCACAGCCAATGCATGACTGGTACTGATACATCAGTTGACATTGCACCCGAAGCTGGACTCCAAACAAAAATTTAAAAACCTGGAAAAAAATCATAAAGAAGGGTAGCTATCAACACAGTTTTTGGTAGTTTTTCCCTCTAACCGTTTCCGATAATATCACGTGAGACGATGAGGAGTTTGATAACCCATAATTTAGCATTGACGGCGACCTTGGACCTTGGTTGTTGTTTTTTTTTTTATCTGAAGCGGCTAGGCATGTTGCTGAAAGCATAAGTGTGTCAAGGTACAGTGGAATAAGGCTATTGTTAGATTTTTTTGGCATGTAGAGTTATTGATATCATCTTAAAGCTTGTTAATTTGTTCTGATTTTTATTAAAATAATTTACGTCTAGCTTGCATGGACGTAGAAACAATTGCGATTGAAAGAGGTGATGGTCGCTAGTGTCAGGAGTAAAGTCAGAGAGAAAATGATCTCCAAAGTTGGATAACTTCAAAAGCTGTAGTGTCCTTGGAAACTGCAAATTTACTTTTAATGTGCCTTTAATCCGTTTTTCAATGAAATATGTGTTCCTATATGTACATTAAAGATGTAGACTTTTTTTTAAATCGATAAAAGTTGCCCGACAGGCGGAAAAATACCGATTTCTTCGATGTCATTATTTTGACGAGCGCCTGATTTCACCACGATGCCACACAATTATTCCTCTCAGGGCAGCAGAGACCAGGGAAGGGTTCCACAGGAATTACCTTCCCAGCATGCGATAGGGTTCGTTAAGGGCTGTCTTTAATTCCATTTTGCGATAAGGGAAATCCATAAGGGTGTCCTTAGCCTTCGGCGACCCAGAGTGGACCACACTGGGGGCCAGGGAGTGCAGGTACGAGATAGCATGACCAGACGGGAGACTAAATGCAAGTCAATGAGGACGAAACATCACCGACATAAAATCGATGCCGAGACGAAAAGGAAACCATCGTAATGAAATGGGAATCTGTTAAGCTGTGTCCCCTCTGTCATTGTCCGCTTGTCGAGTTGGCTTGATTCCTTGAAGGTCATGAGATCGGGTAAGCGCGCAAGAGCTTAACAAACGGAAATCGGCTTCTCGAGACTTGGCCATTGACGTGCTTATTACATCCAAGCCATTAGTCCAGAATGATTATGTACCTAAACACTATTGCTGAGGTCAAAACGTACATTTGGAGCACCCAAGCTCAGTTAGTTTGCTGGGCTACAGTGCGGATGTCCTTAGTTTGAATCTTCCATGATACGTTTTTCAGCTTAGGTTGTTTGAGTAGATGTTCAATGACTTTAATGTCTTTGGGTCAATTTTATCAAAGAGGGGTGTTAAAATCTGTGGCCTTGCCCATTAACTAACCTTTCGATATTGAAAGTAATATCAAACCCATACAATTATATCACACATCAACATTCAGTCTCTATTAATGAAAGAAATTACATGCCAAATATTATACAAGCCCCATAGACAAGTTTCGTTTTGGTTTGTGTTGTTTTGCCATTTTGTTTTTGATTATTGAGACGATCGTGAACTCTTCCTCTCTCTCTCTCTCTCTCTCTCTCTCTCTCTCTCTCTCTCTTATACCAAACA